TGCTGCTTCTTCATGGTCCAATCAGCAGGCTGCAGTTTGGAAGGTGACACCACTGTGTACCTAAAAGAGAATATGGTGTCACCCTCCTGGCTGTGCTGGCAAACAGGTGTATTGATCACAAACAGCTGGACAGAATTACAAATCCTTTGATAGATATTACAGTTCACACGTCTGCATGCACCATGTGCAGTATTTACTTGTTTGTCTAGTTTATCTTTAATGGAAAATCAGTACTTTATAAAGTTCCGCAGTACAGGTTTCCAATGAACAAATTAAATAAAATATATGTGGGGTGTGTCTCCCTTATAGGACAATTCAATGAAAACTCATAAACTAGAAGATTCCAGTTTATATACTATGATTCAATGTTGAGTCACTGCTCTTAGAGGACTATTAAGGGGAATGGATAGCAGTTTGTGTATACATTTATATATTTGTTATGGCCAGGACAAAAAAATAGAAAACATTTAAAATGAAAAATATTGCTTATTAATATTTTGTCATTCAGTTTTTCAGCAGAGCAGCTCCTGATCACAGGCTTGGTGCTCTCTGCTCAGATATATGGAGGGTGAATTTGGAGAGCAGTTTTCCTGTTCACAGCCTCAGGGCTGTCAGTTACACGGGGGGGGGGGGGGGGGGGGGGGGGGGGGGGGCAGGAATTAATGTGTATGTAAGGGCGGACTGACAACTCATGAGGCAATTGGGGATCATGGGGCCTCTGTGTCCTTGCCCGCACTCAAAACACACCCAAAAAAGCTTATAAAAGGTACCAGGGGCATTTTATGGGGCCCCCTACTGACCCCCGGACTGAATGGTCAGTCCGCCCCTGGTATGTACAGTATGTAAATGTGCTGTGTACATTTCTGGCTCTATATTAATGGCTGTAATAAATAAATAAGTAGTGTTCTGGGGAAGAGAGCAGAAGGCAATTGAATAGAGAAGAAACTGACACATCTGGAAGTGTTGGATTTAAAGATAGGAAGGCCAGGGGTAAACATGGAAACATTGGGAAAAAATATTCTTTTCAAAGCCATTTTTTTGTTTTGTTTTTCCAGAAAAATTTGGGGAAAAAAAAGTATGGAATAAGTTCTTTTACAATGATAAGAAATATATCTATGACATGTATTAAAACTATATAACATGAGACCCTTAATGGAAGATTTGAGACTTTATGAAAAGTCTTAAATTATTGTAAGTTCTCTCAGGTGAAGACAAGCAAATCCTGGAATACAGTTCAAGTAACACTGTACAGTACTTCTCATGCAGTTCTCAAACAAGAGAATATGCATTCCTGCCACTAAGGGGCACTGCAGGGGAAAGGCTTCAGTCTAGTTTGCTTTTGGGCTCTATCTTGTATCTCCTACAGTTGAGTGGTTGTTGGGATACAGTAGATAATAGTTTCTGTCCTCTCAGGCCTTAATTAACAGGAAAGAAGGTACATTTCTCTGACAAATTCTGACAAATTAGTTTATCTTTATAACTTTTAAATGATTCCTATTAATGTTTTCAACCATCGCAACATAATGTTTACCTATAGTCTTCTCAGTAAATTGTTTTCTCTCTTTTCCTCCTCTTAGTAAAATGGTGATACCAGGGGCGGGCTGACCATTTGGAAACTCGGGCACTGCCCGAGGGCCCGGGGTCAGTAGGGGGCCCCATGAGATGCCCCTGGTACCTTTTTCATAGTCTTTTTTGAGTTTGGGCAAGGACACAGGGGGCCCCATGATCCCCTATTGCCCGGGGGCCCCATGAGTTGTCAGTCCGCCCCTGGGTGATACCAACATCTAGAGTTTGAAAACATTTCCACAGGGCAATGTCTGCTGACAGCAAAGCTGCAATTTGCAAATATTATGAGAAGAAACATTCTTTTCCAAATTATACAAGAATGACAAAACACATCCTTGCATGCCAGTGGTGCCCCAAAGACATTAAAAGTACTTTATGGAATTAAATGATGACCATAATGAAAAGGCGAGTAGCTTTTCCCTCCAGAGTTATCATTAATGAACCAATAACAAATATGTCATACTTACCTGCTCTGTGTAATGGTTTTGCACAGACCAACCCCGATCCTTCCCTTCTTGGGTCCCCCACTGGTTCCTCCCCTCTGCTGAGTGCCCCCATGGCAAGCCACTTGCTATGGGGACACTCGTGCGAGTCTGCTCCCGAGCCAGCTGTGTTCGTCCATTGACAAACAGAACGTGATTCAGCCCCACCCCCCACACTTACCTCACTGGCTGTGAATGACAACAGCGGGAGCCAATGAGAAGGGAGAGAGACAAGAGATCTGCTGCTCTTGTGCACATCGCTGGGTCAAGATCGGCTCGGGTAAGTATGGGGGGGGGGGGGGGGGAACTGGTAGAGCAATAGTTGCCAGGCATTTGGGATACAATACTGCTGCCTCCTGAATGCCCTTTTTTTGGCAGATGAACAGGTATTTTCTATGTAAATACTGCAACTTCGGGGCAAGTGTTTGGCTTGTGGTTTCAGTGCAGCCCCATTGGGTCACATTTTCCAGCAGTACTGCCTGCTGAGTGCAAAATGGTGCATCATTTTTTTTCAGCAGCCGTGAAGCAAAACATCTCACCCACAGCATGGGGCTTCTTTACACTGGTGTCAGTCTCTGAAGCGCAGTCTGCGGTGGATCACTTTTCAGAGGGTAGCTGACAAGTGGTTGAAGTGTGGCCACATTCAGTTGAATGGATCATATTTGGTGGGCAGTATGGAGGGTGGTAAAAATGTGGCTCAGTGTTTTTTCCTGCCCCAAACCACAAGTGTAAATGAGATCTAAAGCTTACGACACACATTATAATCTACATACTGACTAGTTAGATTTGGAAGGTTATAATATAGTTTTCATAACTCTAATGTTGATTGTACAAAGATTTAATGGGCAGACTGAAACATGGACGGTGACCCTAAACCAAGCCATAAATGATGCAATTTTCTTTCCTGCAACCATGGGCTGCAGGAAAGAAAATCGCTCAATTTCCACATCAACACAGTCAGTGTTGATGGGAGGATCCCTCCCGCAGTGCTATTGTGTTCTGCTGGTAGGTAGACTTCCCTGCCATCAGAACACAATGATTACTGCTGGTGGCTAAAGCTACTGAATGTAATCGCATGGAAAAAAAATCAGACAGGCTGGTTGTACTGAAGTCGGTAGATGGATCAACTTTGGTTCGACCAGCCTGCCCAGAAATCTTGGTCGGTCGCTGCTGAAATGTCTGCAATTCGATCAATCTATGACTAGTTTTAAGCTAGGTTCACACATATGCAGGTTGTGTTTTAGCCATTTCTGTATTGCGTTTTGCGTTGTGTTTTTGCACCTGCGTTTTTAATGTTTATTCAATTATGGGGTTTTTTTTTTTTTTCATTTTTTTATTTTTGTTGTTGCTAGGCAGATTTAAAACACAAAAAGCATCTATAAAGGCATAAAAAAACAGGGCAAAAATGCATCAGAAACGCACTACATGCTTTTCTGTAGCATTTCCATTGAAGTCTATAGAACCAAAAACGCAACTTTTCGTGTTAAAAAAAAGTTCCTGACTCTTTCCAAAAAATGCATCGGGTCAAAACGCGCAGATGTGAATGTGTCCCATACGAAGTCATGTTAACACCCCGGTCACATCAAAGCTGATTTTGAAATTGTGCGACTTACAGTGAAGTCGCATGATTTCAAAGTCGGGTGACTTGCCGATTTGCAAGACATCTGGCACAGATGTCTATGCAAATCGCACCAAAAGTAATGCATGTACTACTTTCAAAATTGGTGCTGCTTCGACCAAGTCAGAACTGCACTGATATGACCGCTCTAATAGCGGACAATAGGGTGCGACTTGGCATATGATTTACAAGTCGCATGACATGCAAATCGCACCCGATGTAACCGGGGTGTAAATGGACTGTACTGCATTTCTGCAAAATGCTGTGGAAAATGCTTAGGTGTGAACCTAGGGCAAGACCCTGAGCAGCTGAATGTAATCTTTTAGGTGGTCATTCCAGAGGTGATAAAACTGTGGATCGACACCCCCCAATCCCCCCCAGCTGCATGTGTGAACAAGGCCTATCAATCAGGCAAAAATGCATCAAAAACGCACTACATGCTTTTCTGCAGCAAGTCTATAGCACCAAAAACACAACTTTTTGCATTAAAAAAGTCCCTGACGCTTTCCAAAAAATGCATCGGGTGAAAATGCACAGGTGTGAACGTGTCCCATAGGAAATCATGTTAACACCCCGGTCACATCAAAGCCGTTTTTGAAATCGTGCGACTTACAGTGAAGTCGCACGATTTCAAAGTCGGGTGACATGCTGATTTGAGGTGCGATTTGTTTGGGAACAAGGCCTATCAATCAGTTGTCTGGTTGTGTGGGTAAGAGGAGTAAGTATTAGCCTTCTTCTTTGCAGGTATGTCTATGATTTGAACACTCATTTCAGTGGAATAACTTTAAAATGGAGCAAGGGTTCACCGTAAAGTGTAGCTCAGGGCTTGAAATTACCACTCGCCTGCTCGCCAATGGCGAGTGGAAATTATGGTCGGGGCGAGAGTGTGTCCCCCAGGGCCGTCTTGCTGAGCAGGCTCAGAGCTCAGGCTGGATCTGGCATTGGCACTGGGAGCCGTCAGACTGCTCAATAGCTGAGCGCAGTGAAAGCAAAGCAAGGAGTGTGTGTGCTGTGCTCTCTGCCTCCCCCTAGAGTGCAGTACCCGGATCTGTGCGTGAACAACGAAGTACTGCAACTTTTTATGGGGAGGAGGTGGTGTGTGTGTATACATGTACATGTGTGTGTGTTTGTGTGTGTCTCTGTGTATGCATGTACAATTGTACATGTGTCTGTACATGTGTCTGCGTGTATGTACATGTATGTGTGTACATGTGTCTGTGTGTGTACATGTGTGTGTGTGTGTTTGTGTGTATGTATGTACATGTGTCTGTATGTTTATACATGTGTCTGTGTGTATGTATATGTGTCTGTGCGTGTGTATTTCTGTGTGTGTATACATGTGTCCGTATATGTGTGCACGTGTGTCTCTGTGCGTGTGTGTACATGTTTCTGTGTGTGTATGTGTTTGTGTGTGTATGTACATGTCTGTGTGTGTGTACAGGTGTCTCTGTTTGTGTGTGTATGTTGGTGGCGAGTAACTCAGGTCTGGCTAGTAGCTCAGGATTTGAAATTTTAAGCCTTGGTGTAGCTTCTGTGTAGACTTCATGGAAAGAGACAATTGCAGTCGTATATAGAGGCATCTTTCTTTAAAAAAAAAAAACAAATGAAGGTTTTCTTTCTGGTCCTTGTTGATCTGTACAATATCCCTGGCTAAAATGCCATCTCATGAAATGGTTATGTGTGTAGGTTGATTCGTTGGACCCATAGCTGGCAGGTCACAGAAGGTGTGGCGAATAATGTGTTTGCTGACATTGCAGAGTTTACTAGAATTCCTGTGTCACTCTGCTATGTACACAGAAGAGGCTTTCTAGAGACAACCCATTAGCTGCTGCTGGCTAACTTTTTACGTGGGGCTAGTCATGTTACGAAAACATGCTCTTTGGCTGGCTGCAGGTTGATTTCAAGAGAGGTCATGCAAGGCTAAGTGTTCTACACAAATTTACCACCCTGTCCAAAAGACTACTCTGAGTCTAACCATGTACAACTAATTATTAATGAAGCTGATCCAAGAGGCAAACAGTTTAGGAAGATTGGCTGCTCTGGGGTCTGCAAACAAATAAAGTTCTAATGGAATGTGCATCAAAAAGGGAAAACACAAATAGTATGACATCACTATAGTAGAAATACTGTAAATAATTACTTCTAGTGAAAATAAATAATATTTATTTATAGTGAAAATAAATGTGACTAATATGTTTTTCTTTTTCTACATAGCCGTGGCTATGTACAGAGCTGGGGTAGAATTCCAGTCAAACTTTTGTTTTTCATTTTTGTTTTGTTTTTTTTTTTTGCTTTGTGTGTCCCCATGGGGGTGTATATCCGTCATTTCCTGTTCAAGTGCTCACCTAAAGGGCTCATGTACACTGCAGCTGATAAACTCACGTTTAGGAGCTGTTCAGCGTTTTTTTCAGCAGCCCCTGAACTCTTCCTAATGTTTTCCCGTGTGTCCATGTACACATCGTCGTTCACAGGCAGTTGAGTTTACAGTTGTTTTTTTTGAACGTACCAAACTTGCGTTCAGGAGTAGATTTTACCGGAGTTTCAAACGCTAAACACTTGTAAAAGTGGTTAACCGCATTTAGCGTTTAGAAGTGTTTAACTTTTCCATGGCCAGTTGCTGTCCAGAGACTTTTTTTCATCATCAGAAATGCATGCAAAGTATTTTCCAATGTATTCAAGAGGACCGAGCACACCAGCGCAGTCAGTTCCAGGTTTTGCCTAAAGGAAAAATGGTAAAACGTGCCGCATTCTGCTCATGATGGGATCCATAGTGAATACAACCAGAAAAGACAGGTCATCTCAACACATACTGCTCTCTCTGCTTCTACTCTCTCAAAATGTCTGAAATAGTTAATTTTTTACTATTTTTTAGTGCATTCTGGGCATTTGGGAAGGTCTCCTGAGGTTTATCTTTTAAAAACAAAAACGTGCATAAACTGATATTTTTTAACATATGTTTTCCAGCAGTCAGTTTCTATCATTCAGAAGAGTTTTCTAAACACCCCGTGTACATGAGCCCAAAGATTAGAACTTCTGACAGGTTTTTCTGCTTGCCTGCTTTCCTGTTGTGGAGAACTCTGCCCACCTTCATATCTTTAGACTACAGCTATCCATACACATTAAGATCTCTAAATCACTCGATTGCCCTATCTATACTATACAGCATGAATGGATGAATCTGTAGTGCCTCTATTGTAGTCTGACAGCCAGCACTCATGGCTGTCTTTTACAGGCAACAGCTGAACACATTATTACTTCTTCTTTCCAAGTCACCTTCAAAGGTAAGTCCATGGGGGAGATTTACTAAGCCTGGAGCACTTAGTTCATCTAACTAAAAGGTCAGGAGTCTTGTGTGAATTTCTTTTTAAGTAGATCCATACTGTTGCAGACACAATTGACTCACATTTCTAACCAAGACTAGGTTCACACCTATGCAGTTTGCGTTTTGTTGTGTTTTTGATGCGGTTTGCAGTTTTTTCTTGTTGCTAGGCAGATTTAAAACACAAAACGCGGCAAAAACGCACTACATGCTTTTCTGCAGCATTTCCTTTGAAGTCTATAGAACCAAAAATGCAACTTTTGGCATGCAAAAGAGTCCCTAGCCCTTTCCAAAACTGCACCGGGTGAAAACGTGGAGATGTGAACGTGTCCCATAGGAAATCATGTTAAATGGACTGTACTGCGTTTCTGAAAAACGCTGTGGAAAACACTTAGCTGTGAACCTAGGGTAATAATGGGATGCCTCGATTTGCTCCCTATTTTACCAGACAGCTCAATGCTGAGTTCAGTGGTTTAAGTACAGGGGTAGTAGAAGATGCAGATGCAATTGCATCCCTGTTCTTGGGGGGGACCCATACGGCATATCCAGGGGTGGACTGACCATTTGGGAACTCGGGCACTGCCCAAGGGCCCGGGGTCAGAAAGGGGCCCCATGAGATGCCCCTGGTACCTTTCATAGGCTTTTTTGGGTGTGGTTTGAGTGTGGGCAAGGACACAGGGGCCCCATGATCCCCTATTTCCCGGGGGCCCCATGAGTTGTCAGTCCGCCCCTGGGCATACCCCATAATATCCAAACACCTTCTTCATCAATGTCACTTGAACAAGTCTGTGACTAAATTGCTTCTCCTAGAGAACACCGTATTTTCATAGTATAAACCCACATAGATAGGCCAGGCAAACATGTTTATAGATCTTGCCTGGAGGTACAACTCAGAAGGCAGCCAGATCATCCAGCCACTGCCTTGTCCTAGACCTCCTCATCTTGTTCTTCTCAGATTAAATAAATATAATTACCAACACCAAGGGTAAAATCGTATTCAAAACCTAAAGTAATGATTGCTGTAAATGACCGTTATTAATGGCTACACTTCCTTTTGTCAGTGGAGTGTAATTGGTAAATACACTGAGCACCAATTTCCTCAAGGTACATTGATTTAACTGTGTGAGCAAACACAGGTAAGGACAGCCTAATGCAGGCATGCCATTGTGTAGGCATCTTCCAAACTTGTTAGAGGCACTCGGCTAATTTAACTGCTTTAAATTCAAATAGAATTTATTATCCTAGTCCATTATGTTCATAATGATGCTGAGCTAGCATTTCATCACACTGCCCTTCCAAATTCTGGTTTCAGAATAAAATAGGTTTCTTAACCTCCCTAGCGGTATGATTATTTCAGATTTTTGGTGCTGAAAGCGATACCATTATTTTGCATGGAAATATGTAGTTTTTCTATTGTAGGCTGTAATTTTTAGGAATAACTCACTGAAATCTGTCCGAACAAGAGTCTATTAAACATCATCCCGGGTATGATAAAATTTGAAACACGAAATCATAAAATATAATTTAATAATCATAAAAAATAATATAATAATAATACATTTAATTCAATAATATAATCAAACCAAAAACACTGACATTTGAAATCGAGCGCCAAGTCCGCACAACGCTGAGCAAAGTCGCAAAATCGTTTTCAGTGCCTGATGACGAATTTCCCCCACGAATCATTATCACTCAATTCTGCAAGTGGTTCTGATTGGCTATCGCTGTTCTCTAGCTGATCTAAACCCGCTTTTGACCTAAAGGGACACTTTTTGGACGCCATGGACGTTTCTCAGTTTCCAGGCAGAAACAACAGACAAAATGCAGACGGGACAGGACAAAGCACTCGGGGCAAAATGTATGTGAAATGGGTTGAAACAGCAATGTTTTACTATGTAAAATGTGTTTGGAAAAAAAAATAAATTTTTTTAACTTTTCAAATTTCCCGCTACCGGAGGCGCCCGTACGTCCCGACGTCACAGGGAGCGGAACACAGAAGCCGGATGCCGGCATCGGCCGGAGGAGATGGCCGGGGACGCTGCAGGGGACACATTGCGGGAGCGAAGGACAAGGTAAGCTCTGCAGGGAATCCCTATGCAGCGCCGCATGGTAAGCCCGAGTGTAGCTCGGGGTTACCGCTTTTGGTACTGAAACTTTACCCCGAGCTACACTCGGGAATACCGCCAGGGAGGTTAAAAAAAAAATTTAAAGTAAAGTATTCTTCTGCAGCTGTATGTACATATTCACATGGACATCAGATGGAAAGCACATCAAGCTCCTTAGTTGTTATGGCCATTTGATTCATGATGCCATTGCTTCCATGGTGGGTCCAAGAGCATGGAAGCCAATGGAGTTGATTTACTAAAGGCAAATATACTGTGCAATGCATGTGAAGTTGTTCCAGAGCTTAGTAAATGAGGTAAAGATTTCTAGATTGTAAGCTCGAAAGAGCAGGGCCCTCGATCCCCTCATGTTTTGCATTGTATTGGTATTGTTCTGTCACATGTTCTGTCCCCCTTTGTAATGTACAGCGCTGAGTGAACTATTGGCGCTTTATAAATACTGTATAATAATAATAATAAAGCTTCACTTTGCAAAGAATACCAATCACATGCAAGGAAAATAAGAAAACCCAGCATTTTACATGAATGGATGAAAGAACTCAGCAGAACTTCTCGTTTCTAGAGCTTCCCTTCAAGTAGCTATTTGACTTTTAATTTGTAAGGGAAAAAAAAAGGAGTTCCCCCATCTTTACATACAGTGCCTATAAAAGTTATTTTGGAAGTGTTCATATTTTGTTGTAATAGAACAAGGAATCACAGTGGATTTATTTCATACTGATAAGCAGAAACATACACTTTAAAGACAAATGTGAAAAAACATCTCTGCAAAGCAATTAAAATGAATTTGGGTCAATGCACACTGGGCTTAAAAAAAACATCAGTTCGCCTGGCAGAAGAAACGCTTATACAGAGTGTTTCTGTATAGGTGTTCAGTGTTTTTTTTCTGCCAGGAAATTCCTCTTAAAAACACAAACCAGAAGCGTTTTTTTCTGCCTGCAAATACTGAGCTTAAAATATATCTCAAAGCATAGTAATGTGCATGGACACACAGGAGAACACTGAGCTGCTTCTATAGGCAAAATGCAAAACTCCGGTAGAAGCGTTTTTGTAACGCCCAGGTGCATGGACCCTAAAAATGAAAAAACGAAATGCATAAAATATACTAACCCTTTACTATGACACATACATTGTCACTGGTGCAACTGTGTGTAGTAAAAGGGTTGTAAGAATGTGTATTAGAATTAGGCCCCTTTCACACAGGCATTCCGTATGTCCCTTTTTCATCTGTACGTATACAGATGAAAAACGGACCCCCAGCTATTTCTATGGATTTGCGAATGTAAACGGATGAACATATTTTTACATCCGTTAATGTCCACTTCCGTTAACATCCGTTTTTTTGAACGGAAGAAAACCCTATTTTTCTTCTGCAAACAAACCCGGAGCGAAAGAAAAATGGATGCCAACGGACCAAAAACAGATGTAAACGGATGAAAAACAGATGTAAACCAATGTAAATGGATGTAAACAGATGAAAACGGATGTAAATGGATGTAAACAATGTAAATGGATGTAAACAGATGAAAAACGGATGTAAATGGATGAAAAAATGGATGTAAACTTATCCGTTTTTTCTTTGAAAAAACTAGACTGAACTCAAGAAAAAAAACAACGCCCATGTGAAAGGACTCTTACACATATCTCTGGAAGATCGAACTTCTGGTGAGTCAGTAAAGAAACATAACCAACACCATAAAGGCCAGGTCACACCAGAACACAATTAGGGAAATGCGTTCTATGTGTGTTACCTGCACCACATTCAAAACGCACTGCCCTTGTGCTCTGCAGCAGGTGTCAGTGATAACTTAATGACACCCCAAACATAGGTCACAAATGCACGCTCTCTCCCTCGTTGGCCATTGTGGATTTCCATAGAGTGCTGTTCGTTGAGTTCTTCTGGTCTATGTGGCTTGATCTGGTATGTAGTTTGAAGACGCTTGGTTACATGCCCCTCTGCTTACTATATAGGTGAAGCATTATTGGAATATCTAGATGTCCACAACCATAATGTGATTCAGGTGGCCTCAGTGTCCTGATTGGGAGGGCCCTGGGTGTTTGAGGCTTGCCAAGTTGCAGGCTGGGGAGCAGCAGCAAACGTTGACAGTGTTTTTCAGCTTTGCTGAAATTCTTCTTCTCTGTTTCCATTTTTCTCACGTTAGTATATCACCTCTGGGCAGAGTCTTTTCCCTGAGGAAGGAGTAGAATTACTCCGAAACGAGTCGGATTATTATAGACAAATTCTGTAATTAACAAATATCTCATGATGATGATGTAACATTATATATGACCTCCAGAAACAGCTGTTATATGTTTTATATGTGTGGAAATTTGAGGCAAAATAAAGATTTTGTATATTTTTAATTATATGTATTGATGCCTTAAAAGCCCCATAAAACCAGTTTTTTTTTTTTTCCTCAACTTTATATAAAATTTTGGGGATGGTGGCTTATATCAGGAATTCCTTTTATTCTTTGCTCAGGTCACAAACGCAGTGTATTTATAGTCAGCAAATCAGTTCAATAGTACCATGCGATCTGGTTGCTGTTTGTTTTATAAAGTAGTGCATGCACTACTTTTGGTGTGTTCCGGCATGATTTCCGTCCAATCAAATTAATCACCTGTGAATTGCAGAGGAACGCACAGTGTGTCCCTGCGCAATTCATGGTATGAACTGGCCTGAACACTTGAGCAACTTCATAAAAAGTGACTGGCAGGCACAAGTCAGGCAGGTATAGAACAATTCCAAGACACTGAATTTTTATGGAAGTACAGTTAAATCAATCCTTAAGTGTTGGAAAGAGTATGGCACAGCTGTAAATCTGAAGGAGAGGCTGTCCACCAAAAGAGTGGCTGTGTAAGCAGAAGACTAGCAAGAGGGGACACCAAGAGAACTATGACAAGCCTGAAGAAGGTGTAGACCTCAGGTGGCTGAGATCGAGAAGACGATATGTACAATTATTGCCCGAGTGGTTCACAGGCACATGGGGGTGTAGCCAATGAATCTTACATGACATCTCACCTATAGGCACATGGGAGACTCTAAAGTCAAATGGAAGCAGATTCTATGGTTTGATGAGACCAAAATATAGCCAAAACACTTTGAAGCCAGCCAAACACTGTACATTATCCTATTGCACGGTCTCCACCATAATCATTGCTGGTGGAAGCGTCATAATTTGGGGATATTTTTTTCAGCGGGCCTTGTAAGGATTGTGAATGTAAAGAGTTAAATGAACTTAGCAAAAACAGGGACATTTTGAAAAGACACATTGAAATCTGTAAGAAACCTGAGCCTGGGGAGATTTGTCTTCCACCATGACAATGGCCCCAAGCATAAAGCAAAAACTACACAAGGGTGGCTTAAAAACAATGGTATTAATGTCCTGGAATGCCTAGGTCAGTGTCCGAGCTCAATTCAATAGCGAAAATCTCTGACAGAGCTGGGGATGTTTTGCAAATAAGAACACAAATTGCATGGTTTAGAAGTGAAGATGTCCATATAAAGAATGCCAGTTTTCATGGGATACCCATCTTGTCGCTACACCGGTGTGAGGAGAGATAACCGAGTAGTGCTGATCTTCCTATTGCAACAGCCAACCATTATCCCAATAAAATCCAACAATGCATGACCATTGAAGGAAATTGGGTCTTATTGGACTGAGCCTTCAGAAAAGCACAAATCAATGTACATTAGGCAAACTAGAGCC